TATTGATGAAATGGAAAAAATATGACATGAATTCCTAAAATTCCAGTTGGTTCATGTTTTGAACTTGATTATTTCAGGTAATACATCACTACCATAATTCATTCCTGTGAAATATAGGAAGAAGAATGATTATTGAGTGTGAATAAATGAATGAATGGAGTTAGGGAAGAAGAAACACAGAAAAATTTAAGATTTAGGTACACATTGGGTAAATAAAGTCCTTTCATCTCTTTTTAATTTTCTCATATTGATGAGGCAGAAAATAAAAAATGCTCCTCAACATGACACATAAACTTACATATCACTTAAACCAGGAAGCTGTTTTTCAAATGGCACCACAGTGATATATAACCATCAACAACTGCATGCAGAATAAATTGTGTCAAATAATAGGGCTAGTTTCAAATTCCAGTACTTGAAGTTTGGAAAACGCAGATTTAAGATTATCCAGCATCAGTTAATGCATACACAGGGTGCAAACCTGTTGCATTCAGTGGGCAAGATGTCACAATTTCTTTTTAGAATAATTTTTCAGTCCATGATTCTGAGCTTGGGGTTTTTTTTTATGTACACAAGAGGTCTTGTCTTTTCTAGGTTTTTCATTGCCGAGGTATTTAACAGTTGCACTCAGCTAAGTCCACGAACATGTGTATGTTTAAAACTACAGGCATTAAGGTTTGCAAATGTTATATTTACCACCCGGTGTCTTCTTCCTAAGAACATTAAGATTTACTGCACTGGTGTTTGTGAGGCTCAGGGATCAAATGAATTCACATGGAGAAAAGAAAGTTTCCACCTGACCTTGCTGGGAGCTGGACTAGAACTCTCATGAGGTAAAACACTTGCAGAGGACCAGGTAGTACTTTATTATGATTTATTAAATGTCAGTTCATATGAGTTTTATTGAATATGAGATTAGAGAAGTAGTTATTATATGACAGCACAGTATTCTGTGATTTACTCATGAGCTGCTCTTTTTTTCTTAATCTGCAAATACCCTGCAGAGCTGAGGGGGAAACATGACATCAGCTAAACCAAAGAAATGGAAATTATAATAAACATGTTTAAATCTTGGGGCACTGGAGAGCTTTATCATGCTCATTTCCTATCTGGTGTTATTGATCTCAGTGCAGGAATCAGGCTATGGATATGACCTACAAAAGTGGCAAATATTTTAAACTTTATTATACTGGCTTGGAATTCAGTCTTGATTGGAACAGAAAGGACGATTATTTAGGGGATATGTACAAGTCAAGGCAATTTGTTGAGAAAGGGAAGAGGAAGAGAGTGATAGCAGCCATAGGAGAGAGCTAGAAAAGAAAAAACAGCTGGAAAGATCCAAAACACTTAAGCATTCAGCTGGGATAATATGGGCTCAAATCTTGGGAAGCTGAGGATAATGGCACATGAGCACATGAGGGCTGCTACAATTCTCCATTTTCACGGATGCCAGTAAGAATTTCCAGCACAGAAGAAGCAGCTACATTTGTAACTATCATATTATTATTTAATTTCTATTCTATTGAAATTTAAGCATGAAGAACTTGATCTAAAGGCTACTGGAGGCAGCAAGTATCTACACTTACTTCCACACCCATCCAAATAAGCCAAAACTGGAGTCCTATCTAAAAGGCTTTTGGTGGCCTGCACCCAGGGTATCGAGAGGCTCCACTCCTGGAGCTGGGATGAAGATCACAGCCGAGAAAGAACTACAGCATGACTGAACTTTTTTGGGAAGGGTAATCCTGTCTGCCTAGGCAAGACTTCCTTTGCACAGAATGAGACAAGTCTGTGGAGAGTTTCCCACAGGAACTAAGGGCAGTGCAAAAACTTTTACTGCTTGCTTAAGCAGAAGGTATGTTACTCTGACCTTGTTTTCCTTTATATAAACACACTGCACATTTCCCTGTGAGTCTGTGCCTTTGTGTTGAAAAACATCCTGCAAACTTCTGTCCCAGAGACAAGCTGACAACAGACTTATGCAGATGTTGGTCACTTTGTTGCTGGGATCTACAAATTCATTGTAACTATAGAACACATCAGGACATAGGAACTGTACAACTCCAACGAGAAACCTAAGCGTAGTTTTGTCTTTATTTGTTCTCTCTTAGAAAGACAGACCAAGAGAGCTGGGGTTATTCAGCCTGGAAAAGAGAAGACTCTGGGGAGACCTTAAAGGCCCTCTCATTACCTAAAATGGCCTAGAAGAAAGATGAGAGGGGCTTTTCACAAGGGTGTGTGGTGATAGGACAAGGGGCAGTGGCTTCAAATTGACACAGGGCAGGCTTAGATGAGATATTAGGAAGACATTCTCTACTGTGAGGGTGGTGAGGCACTGGCACAGATTGCCCATAGAATCTGTGGATGCCCCATCCCTGGAAGTGATCAGAGCCAGGTTGGATGGGGCTTGGAGGAACCTGGTCTAGTGGAAGGTGTCCCTGCCCATGGCAGGGATCTAGAACTGGATGATCTTTAAGGTCCCTGCCAAACCAAACCATTCTATTGATTCTATGAATTTGCTGCTGCTAGTTTTGTAATGAGAAATACACAGTAACTGCTTCAAATGAGCTTTATCCCAGTATTGTTGATATTTAAACTTTCAGCCAAAAAAACCTAAATTTTAGGAAAAAAAAGTTAGGATTGTAAATTCCTGCACCATCCTTTTTACACTTTTGGGTTGGGTTTTTTTTCTGATGTTGGCCCTGATGCACCCACTGATCAAAGTTTTGTGCACTGTTTCATTAGCCAAGGTTTAACTACAGACCTATGCACACAGAATACCAGCCTGTGCCTCTGCTGCTCCTCAGTCACAGCTCATAATAAACCGATAAACTGGGATGCAACTGCTTCTTTGTCTGGTTTGGAAAGATTCTGTAGTCTGGTTATATCTCCAGCATTCCTCAGACCACAATTTCAACACAGAAAACATTCAGACCAGAGTGATGGGAGACAATGACAGTCATTTGAAATGAGGTTTGGCAACAAATTTTCTGACAAATGCTCTGGGATAATGCTTGCAGAGAGAATTGTGCTCTCGGAGATGTGACTTGTTAATTCAGTCTGAAGGAGGAAGATTCAGAGCCGTCATTTATTGGAACCTATTACAGGACTTAATCTGAAGATTTTGACATACTTCCAAGACAAATAGGCTACCACAAGTGAGACATGTTCAATAAGGTGTGTATTGTAGGAAATGAGGGCTGTAATTGCCATGCTGAGAGAGCTTGTTGTCTATGCAATTTAATGACCTTCTCCTCGCAGTGTCTCTTCTGACACAATGTGATTCCGAGATGAATCATGCCAAGCACATGGAAAGGGTCTTTATCATCACACAGCAGACTTGACCAAATGGTTACTGCTTATTATTGGCAGGCACCGTAGGATTTGAGCCCCACAGAGTAAAACATTAGGAATTACATCTCCTGTAATGCTTGGGCCTCTTCATTAAACATCCTGGGGCTGTTTATAGTTTCCTTGTTACTCTGCAAATCACAGCAGTGGCCCAAGTTTTCCAGCACAAATTTTCTCTCTGCTTGTGAGTTAGACTGAAATTTGTACCAGATAGCTCCAGTCAGCAGCACAGATTATGACAGAAACAAGAAGTCCAACTCTGTTTGTCCTTAGCACTTAACCAAGATATACTTACTCAGTCATTTTAATCTTTCCTTGTGAAATAGTTTCCCCAGTCATTCCAGAATATCTGTCATCATTTTCTGACCTCTGTCCAACTTCTAATTTTTCCACCTGATACTGAGGCAGGAAAAGAAATTTGCTATGTTGGCTGCAATCCACATCACTGAAGAATGACAGACGTGCAAAGACATAGGTCACTTATTGTGCAGGGTTGCAACAACAAAAGAAATACATAAAAAATATAGGGTGTAGAAATGAAACAACCTTTTAAGATTTTTAAACCTGAAAAATACTGAAGACTGCACTACATGTAACAATTTCCCCCTGTACTACCTATATTCAAATATGTACTTGGCAATGTCCGTGGTTATTTCTACTCTGCTACTTTGGGACTCCAAGGAATCCTGAAGCTTCTTCCCCCCAGCATGTTTTATTGCTACAAGAACAGCAGTTCTTGATAACCAATTTCTGTTTGTTTAGTTTAGAGCACTTTTATGTACAAAGTCGTCTAAGATTTCTTTTACAGTTCTGGTGTTTTAGGTGGTGCTGCTCTCAGGATGGGCTCCTTATAGATGCATCAAACTGAGTAAATGGATGACTGGCAGGGTTACAATCCGGCCTTAAAACCTGAGTGCCCGTTTAGTGGTTGTGAAGTGACCGAAAATTAGTGTTATGAAGATTTCTCTCACCTAAGGTAGGAAAATGCTGTTTTCCTACACGTGGTGGATGGTCTGTTCTTCTGACCAGCCAGTGCCAACAACAAATATAAAAGTGATTTCAGTACAACAACTGGGATTTGCAAGTATTTCCAGCCCACCCTTTTGGGCCTTAAAGCAATGTTCAAAAGCGTGGCTAAGTTTGCTCGGGGACACCAGCACGGTGGTGGAGCCCTCAAATTCTTCACACCAGGCACCCTCTATATATCTATATATACAGCGTTAATTTATTTTTATCATTGTCATGTCCATCCACAGCGGCTCCCCAGGGTGGAAGCCAACAACGAGCCGGAGCTTGCAGTGCTGGAGCGTTTCCCAGGGCACTTCCACGCTCCAGGTGAGCGCAGCTCTCCCGGCACAGTGAGCCCCGGGATCGGGGCCTGGGCAGCGGAGACCCTACAACCCCCGGGGTCACCAAAGGCTGGAGCAGCCGAAGGCTCTGCCTGCTGCGCCCTCCAACCGCGGGCAGAGCCTGGCAGGCAGGAGGGGCCCACACATTTCTCCCCGGGCCCACGTCGGCCCGGCCGGAGCCCTGACCCCGCCGCACCGCCCCGGAAGCGCCGCTCGCCTGCCCGGAACCTCCGGAGCCGGAACGCAGGTTGGCGGCGCGGGGGCCGGGCCGGAGCGCGGCGCTGGGTGGACCTGGGGGAAGATGGCGGCGGCCGTGGCGAGCCTACGTGGGCGCGGGGCCGCGGACACGGACACAGACACGGACAGCGGTAACGGGAGCGGGAACGGGGTGGGCCCCTCTCTTCTTCTGAAACATCGCCGGCCGCTGCTGTCGGCCGTCTGTGATCTTAGAGGCCTTTTCTCTCTGCCCTGTCTGAGCCCGCCGGTGGGTCCGTGGCCCTTCATTCCCCACCCCCTCCGGACCCTGGGCCGAGGGCTGGCGCCTTTCGGTGCCAGGAACTGGAGCTCAAGCCCCGGCCCGGCCACCTGCTGAGGCCATTTCCCAGCGGTGTGTCCCATGGGTGGCATTCCCGCGATGCCTGGTGCTGTGGCTGCTCCTGCCCGCCCTGCGCTGACCCTTGGGCTTTTCCCTCTCAGCCCTGGGAGTACCGGCAGCAGCTCCTTAATTCCCTAGGCCCACCGAAACGGCTTTCGCTGTCTTCTGTCTTGGGAGAGAGGGGAACGACTGTGCAGAGCTGCACGAGTTCCGTGTCTGTGCGACAGCGGGATCTGCTTCTCTCCGAAGGAAACGCCTGGGACGCTCTCCTTCCAGTGTTTTACCCTTAACGCGGGGCTCTGCACTGGTTCTCGCCTCCTTGCGCATTGTGAGGCTGTACCTAACTAGTTGTGATCGCTCCTGTATTCTATCCTGTAATTGGATTTCTTTTTTTTTCTTTATTCTGGGAGAGTCAGGCTTGTGGCCGTTTGGAGCTGTTGCTCTCATGGCTTCTGTTTGGTTTGAGCGTCAAAATCGAGCCCAAGGGGAAGCCTTGTGTGGGAGCTTTTTTCAGAGCTCACTGCTGAACGTTTGTTGCATTTTAGCTGTGTGTCTACACCTTGATCATTGAGCGAGGTTAAAAGAGTGAAGTACAGAGATGTGTATGTGTATTTCACAACACGCACACACAGAGGAACAATTAGCACTTTTTATATTAAATCTCTGCCAGATATCAGTCTTTTCAATTCAGACTATGGCCCCAGGTCCTACTTCTGATTGAGTTAATCTGGTTTAATTTTTTTTAATACCTCTTCTTTATCTCATGCTGTTGACTGCTACTCTGATGTATTAAAAAATAAATTATGGCTGGTAGTGAAAACCTTGTTATTTTTTCTGTAATTGTTGAAAGCAAAATGTTGTTGGTATTATTCTCCGATTTTAATAGTGCAAGATGTTATGTAAAGGAAACGATACATGCTTTTGCAAATTTCCGTTTTATATGTCTGATCTGTTTTTTATGGCTAACTGCAAAAGTGGGTCCTAAGCAGTTGGGGGGGGGGGATTTCAGGTTTGGACTTTCGGTATTTGTTAGCTTTTGTGTGTGTAAAAAAAGTAACAAGCAGGGGTTGATTCCTTGTTTAAAAGCTAAATAGCAACGTCCTAGCATGGACAAGGCCCACGGCTGAAAACTTGACGTTGTTTTATGTGTAGGAACCAGGATGTGGCTCCTACATGTGAAATGTCATGTGGTATTGCAGTTATTTCTTTGCAGGCAATGGTGTGAATTTATTTTTTATTTGAGAGTATTAAGGGTATGGATGTGAATACCTAGAAGGATATTAAAGGATGAAAAGGATGCCTTCAAGCAGTTACTTAATGTGTTGAGAAAATTTGCCAGTTCTAAATTTCCAGTTTATAGTAAGGACTCTTGGAAAACACCCCCATAATTTATTTTGAGTGCAGCATGACATACCACTATGTTTGCTTTGGTGGTAATAAGTCATACTGATAGAGATAATGACCAAGTATTCAGTAATTATTTCTCTTCCACGTTTGTTTTGTAACCATAGATCCTTACTTATTTCCATCAGGATAACTAAATGCTCCCCAAGCCTTTAAACATGCCTGGTCAATAGAGGTTTTGTTTTAAATTGGTCAATGCCACTGTTTTGCTGTTAGGTTGTTTGTTAGGTTTTTCTCTGATTTAAACAGGCACATAGAGAAGGCACAATAATGAATTAGTGTGGCAACAGAGTGTATGTTTATGTTTGCTTAGTGATTAAATAGACAGTTGATTAATGAGGAATATCATTAATAGCTGCCTGCATGGTTTTATGGAGAACAGATTTTGTGAAGCACTCCTGGCTTAATCCTCTTAATGGTTTGGTTGATAAAGATATTTCATGGCATATAGGAGTGCAAGTAAAGCTCTTGGCTCAGTAGTACTGTGATTTAAAATGTAAGTTTTGTGTTTTAAGGAGTTTGAGAGTGGTAGATGGATGAAAGTGAATCGGGTGGGGAATCGGTCCTTTGCTGGTGGGACTGGGTGGGATCAGAAACCAGTCTCCTATTCAGCACTTGATTTTGCAGCCTTGAGAGTTGTATATAAGGTCATTAATTTAAAATTTAATGTGGCACAAATATTAGTGGAATAGTAGTTAATGGTGGCAGAGCCTTGTGTATGCTCTGCTCTTGTTTACTTAGTGAAATAACCGAGCACATTTTAGCACACCCTAAACTTGCAGCCCATTTCATTCTAGTTCATCATTTGCGCTGTTAAAGACTTCTATTTTTGCAGTTTGACCCACTGAACAGAGTAATGAGGACTAATTCTTCATGTATTTGTTGTGTCATCAATTGGGCCATCTTAATGTTGCTTAATTCCAATTGGAATTGTATTGTAATTGGTATTGTGATTTCAGTTCCTTCTTGTTTTTTTGAAGGGCTTAAAGGGGTAAGGAAACTTGACTTTGGGGTTTTTTTATTTGTGTAACTTGAGCAGTTAGTTATCCCAGAAAAGCTCAGTGCCTCTGGTTTCTTTTGAGCTGCCTGACAACTGTCTTGATGCTGCATTTCACAAAGCAGTTCACCCCTGGGTTCATTAGGCTTAGGTAACTGTATTTTTACTGGCGGTGTTCTCTCTGAGCAGGTTTTGCTGTCACATAAGAAATGCCTCCCAGCTTCAGTTTAATTCCTGTGGTTGTTTGCACTCAAACACCAGATGTCACTGTTGCAGTTTCTCTGGGAGTGTGTACTATGTGTATATATGCACACATATTTGTGTGGATAGGCATTTGTAAGTTAGACTTTTTGAACTGGCAAATAGACAGGTTTCCCCCCCACAATTACCAGCCTTAAACATAAAAATATTCAATAATGTAATAATAAATATCCAAGGCTGCCTTTTCCCTTTTGCCCGGCCTCTTTCAATCACGTTAAACCATCACTGAGGTAAGCAAGCTCTTGCACTGCATAGTTTCTAATAAATTCAGTATAATGGTGTGTGCCTGCTTGAGGAATTATTTGTAACAGAACATTTACAATAATACCTCACTCTGAACTTGGATAACATTAACATGTGGAGCAAGTGGCACTAGTGAATGATTCTTAGTAGAAGCAATTCTGATACTTTTTTTTCTTATTTTCGTTTTTGTGGTTTTTTTGTTTTTTTTTTTTTTAATCCTTAGGTTCTGATTTAAGCTCAGAACTTCCAGAAGACAGCTACTCTTCAGGAGGTGAAGCCCTGGATGGTGATGATGAAGATGAAGGAGCAGCCCCTGGCAATGTGGCTGAAGAGGCAACAAGCTCCAAAGATGGCCAGAGTTCAGGATGGGCAGATGCCATGGCAAAAGTGCTCAACAAAAAGATTCCACAGAATAAGTCCACCATCTTGGCCAAGAATAAAAGCCTGGAGAAGGAGAGAGAGAGAAGAAAACAAGAAAGGCTAGAAAAGAAGATGAGGGTGAGAAAAAGATGTGCAGTGACTGTCAGATGGGCTACATGCCATATAGTCTCAGAGCCCTGTCCCAAATCTCTGCTGAGGCTGTCTCAGTTTTGGAGTCTCTCCTACACAGTGATCTTGATTAGCTTAATTTTTTTTACTTTCCAATCATGCTGTGTAAAGTTTTTTCCTTCACTGCTTCTTCTGGGTCATCAAGCAGGCTGAGCTTTGGCAGCAGGAGTGTTCCAGTCTGTCAGCTTAAGGTGTTTACTTTTTTGAGGGGGTGAAAGCAGCTGCTTTTAAGCTTGATTTTCTAATTGGTGTTGTTAATTTGGGGTGAAATTCACCTTGTTGGCATTACAAATTGAAATAGTTCTCTACCACAGAAAGTGAGAGGGAGAAAGAAAAGAAAACTGCTTCCATTTAAAGTGTGCTGTGACTTCCAAAGTCAAGGCATTTAGGTTGAGAGTGCAGTAATCGTTGATATGGTTGTGCATTTTTGTTTGCTCTCCTCAATCATTTTCTTGATTGGAGTTTTCTATTACCGTGTCAGGGCCCTAGATTGCTTCTGGTTCTAAAACTAGTATGAAGAAAACAAAACCATATTGGCAAGTAAGTCCTTTGTTTGTGCCTTCAATGGAACTTTTAATTCCAGGCTCTGATTGATTTACCTTCAGGCTAGAAATACCTTAATGGTTCTAATGTCTAATCCTACCAGTTCTGTTTCAGTGGGATAACGAGGTTATTCACCTGACAGTTTGGGACATGCTGCAGTTGGGCCATGGCTTGCCTTTTAAATACAGAGAACTTCAGTACAGCATCTGCACAGTTATGGTTGTCCTAAATACCTCCTCTCATCCAGTAAATATGTGAGAGTACTGCAAAACAGAGATGGGCCACAGGTCCCCAAAGTGACTTGTTTACTTTAGAAAAACTTGAAAGCAATTTGCCTTTCATTGATTTCTTGCTGATGAAAGGTAGGATAGGGCAGTTCTTTTGATTGAAAGCCAAAACATGGTCATAAACTCAGAAATTCATAGTAGTCTGCCTGGAATTATAAAGATAAGGATTCTGAAATTCCATTAGAGACTTCTTGCATAAAACAAATTTTATGGAACATCACCAGGCCTAAAACACTGTTAAATTTGTTCAGAGAGGAAGAAAAAATGTTGCTAGCTCTGCTAAAACAGAGGTCATGAAACACAGCGGTCTCCTATTGCAGCAGGAGCAAAGCTGGTGGTGTTGTGTCCGCTGGTAATGGAAAAGTGGATCAATTTGGTTTTGAAACAGAGCCTCCAAAAAAAGACAAGAACCAGTATTGTACACATGACCTGTAGTCTGGTGGACACTTGGTGCTCTTCCTGTGTTAGAGTTCTGCCTGTTGCACTCTTTGCTGGGTGTCACTTTGGTCAGAAAACTATACCGAGACCAATTCTGTAGGGGGAAGTCACAAGGTTCAAAATGTGACATGCCTGTCTTGATGACCCAGGATTTTATTATGTATAAATTTTTCTGTGAAAAAGAAAAATCCCAGCTTGTGAAGTCTGCAATTTGAAGGCTATCTTTGAATAGTTTCCTTGCTCAAGGCAGTCAGTGTGAAAGCATCTTTCTCCTAGGCTTTTGTTACTGGTAGGAGATGACTCTGAGATTTGTGCGTGGCCCCTGTTGTGTCGGTGCAAGAGACTTGCTCGGAGCTGTTGTCCAGCCCTATACTGGAGCTCCTTTTGCTTTCAACCAAACTGAACTTTGCAGATACCTTTTTTCCTCCTGCTACATACTCTATCAGAGCATGCTGCATTCTCAAATGTCCATGTTGTTTCACATAACAATATTTATAATGCAGCTCGATAAAAAGCGGGAATGGGAAATGATGTGCCGAGTGAAGCCAGATGTTGTCAAAGACCGAGAGAAGGAAAGAAATCTTCAGAGAATTGCCACAAGGTAAAAGTTTTTCTGAATGCTTTCCTTAAATATATGCATATCAAAAAGAGGAGGAAAAGGCCTGTGCAGGTAATCTGTTTCCAATCAGATTGAACTCTTAAGAAGTGACTAGCAGGAGCTGAGAGATTTATAGACAGGTCTGCATTGTACAGTATCAAGTTCAACAAAAGATTTCAGAAGCTTTATGAAAGAGTAAAAATTTAGATGGGAATCTAATGTTTGCTTAACAGAAGTGCTTCGTTGGATCCCCTAATTTTGTTAATTTAATGCCTTAGAAATGCAGAACAGTTGTTTCTACTGTTCTGGTTTTTTGCTTCTCCACAAAGGATTCATCAGATCCACGGCTGTGAAGTTCAGCTGCCTGTTCACATTGTGCTAGTTTGCTGTCACAGAACTAGTTGAACATTTTGATGTGCTGCCTGTTTATATCTCCTTACTCATTTCTCTGCCTTATCCCCCCAGCTTCAGCTGCCATTAAGAAACTTGCCTGAGTAATTTAATAACTGATTTTAGGACAAATAACATGCTCTCAAGGATGAAACTGATCTCAGTGCCATGTTACCAGGCTTTCTTCAGAGTCTGAATGGTAATTTGTAGATTTGTTCCTAGCAATAAGTATGAAGGAGGAGTAAAACTGAAAGTCTTTTGTGTTTTAGTAAATGTTACTTCTTAACCCAGTTGAGGTTCCAGGGAATCATTTTGGGGAGCTAGAAGCCATCCAGCGTCTGCAGTCATTAGCTTTAGTGGGAGGTTAATTTCTGTAAAAGGAACTTGAGTTTAAAAATTTGCTTTGTTGTCTTTTTCCCTGTTCCAGAGGTGTTGTACAATTATTCAATGCTGTCAGGACACATCAGAAAAACATGGAAGAACAGATGAAGAAACTTGGGAGCTCTGAGAGGAAGCGTGCTAAACTGATGTCTTCTGTTTCAAAGAGAGATTTCATTGATGTTTTAAGAAACGTGGACGGGGCTAAAGGAGGCAAGAATCTTGCTGGAAAGGCCACAAAAAGTAAACAGGTAAGCTTCATCTGTGAGAAAAAAACGCTTACATCAATATAATGATTCTCTGTTAATGTGCCTGCTCTTCATAAACCTGTGACCCAAATGGCTGGGATGTTTTGACACTTTGGGAAGGGAACAGGTAGCTTTTAGCCTGTCTTCCTTGTCTTTTGACTATCAAAATACAAAAATTGGAAGCTCTTCTGATAAGACATCAAGCCTTTTATGCAAATAATTTGGTTTAGTTGTGTGTTTAGAAAAAGATTATGAAACACTGGATTTTATCTTGGATTTTGCACCAGGCATGGACCAAACTGCTAGATTATGGTGAGTTGTGACATTTGGAATTTGGCCAATAATAGTTAGCTCCTTGAAATTGTTAAAGACCTGGAGGCTGTTTATCTTACATGGTTTATTAGACTGTACTACTTGTGTGTCCCCACAGTTTAGTCATGTCAAACTCTCTTCCTTTGGGTGATTGTAGCATCTGAAACTGAAGGATTTGCCACACAAAATGAATACCACAACAGAAAGAAACAGAGACGCATTAAACCTTATATGTAGGCTTCATTTTCTCTGATTCTCTGTGCATTGGGCTGGTGTGGCTTCCTTGCTCTTGTGATGTTTTGGAAAGAAACACATTCCTCTTTTTACAAATGTGTTTAGAGACACAGTGTAGTTGGACTCGTCCAATTTCATCAGTACTTTCAGCTCACCAAGTAGCTCAGGGTTGAAAACAAGTTGCTCAGACACACTCTTTCTCGTATTTCAGAAGCTGCACGTTTTTGAAGCGTATTTGTGTTCAGGTTTGAACTCTGTGCTTGGTGGTGGGTGGAATGCTGCAGCTGGCGCAGCCACACTGCAGTTAACTAAGTGCTTTTCCGTGCCAGGAAGAAATACTTTAATCAGTTGGGAGACAACAGTTTGTCATATGTTTTTTGTTTGTGTGCACTTGGGGAACATGCTGAAACACTGCCTGGCATGGACTGCTCATACAATTTTCATGCAAGTGCAATATTAAAGTATTTTTTAAATTCTTTGGATAATGAGAACAATTTAGCTTGGTGCTGACACTTTATTTCTCCTTAAATAAATCCAGCTTGCTTGTTTGGGTGGGGGGACATGTGTATGTGTGTGGTTCTCTTTTTTTGGTTTGTTTGTTTGTTTTCCCTCTCTTGGAATAGCAGAATATTGGAACAATGGCACTGCCAACTACTATTGTAGTCAGCATTGAATCAATAGCTGAGCAAGAACTAGGACCTTTGTTTTGTGTCACATTGTAGCAGGGCAATTTTTTAATTACTAGGTCAGAAAACACAGATTGCAAATGTTTCTATACTAAAAAAATAATTTTGTTTTGGCAGCATCAGTAACAGCATATTTCCATTCAAGACCTCTGGAGATGCTTTAGATGCTGGCTGGTTAGTGCTGGGTTTGAGTATTAATGTAGGTGCTGCTTTCACATTGCTTGTGCACAAAACCTGGGGTGGGGATTGGGGTTTTTGGTTAGGTTTTTAATTGCATGTTTGCCTAGACAGGCCACCCTCCTTCTTCTCTCCCTTGTTGCCTTTGCTTCAGTGACTCTCCATTCAATTTAATACTGAACCAAACTCTTCAATAACTCCTTTTCAAGCTGTTCCTAATCTGCCTTCTTTTCTCTTGAGAACATATCTTACTCATTTAGCAAGCTCCCTTCCTGGTAGTTGTTGAGGCTTGAGGTGAGGCCAAAATCTGCTCTTCATTCTCCTTCTCAGAATTACACAAATATTTAGCCACTGAACAGTTCTGCTGGCCTCCACTGTCGTATCTCTGCTTCTTGGTCTTTGAGGGTGTTTCAGAGAGTAGGAAGCCTGGATTAGGCTTTTCAGTAATAAATTCCTTGCAGCAGGATTTCAGCAGATTGTTTGTGCCATCTTAAAGCTTTTGTTTGTTTGTTTTGTGGGCTTGTTTTTAGTAGTCGAGAGTATAGAGTGTATTCATTTTTTTAAAAAGGGGAGGGGGGGGCAGATACATTTATTTATCTCAGCAAAAACAATGGAAGAGATGCCAATCCCAAAATCCAGGCACTCTGCCATCAATTAAAAGGCAGTCCAGAACAATAAAAACACTACCCCACCCACATAAAACAAGCAGTCAGCAGGAAAAATAGCAGAAAAAAGTTTTACCAGTGAAAGCAAACCTTTTTTTGACTCAAACCTCGTGCTATGCCATGAGTCGTGACTGTGTTTTGAGAATGGGCAAAAGCATTTTCTTGCTCTGCAGGAGTTTTTGAATGCAAAATTTGCTTTGTATTTTTGAAAGTTTGGCAATTTCCAATTTCTTTCAAGTGCCAGGGGTTGTTGAAGAAACTCCTTATAAGGTTCTGTTGATTGACTATTTAGCCAGGTATATTTATATGTGAAAAAAAGAAATCAAATGCTCTGTAAAGGCCCATCTGCAGCAATATGATTTCAAAGCAGCATGACCGCTTTTGAAATTCTGTTCTCTATTTCCATCAGCTTCATGCTTTTCTGGGAAGGACAGGTAACCTGTGCCCCACCTAGAACATTGTTCATAGTCTTGTTTATTTTAGCCATTGGCCTAAATGTTACTTGGCATATACCTACCAGCATAACTATGAAGGAAAGACTGTAAGGCTGTGTAAGTTTTCCTGTAGCCTTCTTGTGAAACTGAAGCCTTTCTTGGAGTTCTGTGTGCCCAGCTGGGAATAATTACTTTTCTGAGCTGGAGCCAAAAGCTTTGCCTTTCATATCATTTGCTGTTTATCAAGGTATTTCTTAATCCTTGCTGAGCCAGCTGACTTGTGTAATATTTTTTCCTGTTTTTTTCCAAGTTACTGTGCATGATGCTTGCCTCTGGGTAAGGTCATCTAATTTCTCTCCTCTCACCACCTTGTATGAAGCCTTGCAATGTGGGAGAAAAATGTATTAATTAAAAAAAAATAAAATCTCAGTTGTTTGTGTTCAGATAGGCTTTCTTTTTTTAAGTTTTGGGGTGGGTTTTTCTAGGAGTCTTTTACTGGCAGATATGAGGGCTTTCAGTTTTGTTCAACACAATCCTTACACACTAGCTTTTCATTTCAGGATATGTTGGTCATATCTTCCTGTAAGACACTACAAGAAACATTATTAAACTATAGTTTTAGAAAGGGTCCATATCAGAAATGCTATTTTTTCAGGCCTGGAGGCTGAAGTTATTTTTATGTCTATGGAATGAATACAAAAGTAGGTAGTGGCACTAAAGGATTCCTTGTAGGAACCTTCTGTTTTCTTTAGGTCCTTAATAAATTTCAGGGTGTTCTGAGGAAGTACCTTTGCTTCTAGGGTTGAGTGAGGTTTCTGTTCTCTTAGAGTTGCACAGATACGTTGGCTAATGTAGTGAACTACATGAGGTCTTGAAATCTTAACTATAAGAAAACAAGAAAATTCAGAGTTACTCTCCTGGCTTGCTGTGTGTCAGTGACAATTTTATCTTGACGTTTCTCTTGTCATTTGTGCTGCTCCCTGTATTTTACTGTGTATCCATTTTACTGTGTGGTGAAACATTTTTTAGTGACACATAAACAACGGGCATGAAAGTTACAGATACTCTTTATGACAAGCATAACCTGCACTCATGAACATTTCATTTTTAATTAGGACTCTGTAGCATGATTTTCCCTCAACTTGTAAGCTTTCTTTCACCAGATCTGTTGCAGAGCATTTCTGTGGTGACAGTAAGAGCAGGATTTCCTGGTCTACTTCAGTAACCATGACCCAAATCTGCAAGGTAATCTTTCTGTGAGCTAGGCTGACTACATGACCTGGAGGTACAATTTGCTTCCTGTGTTGTGATGGCATCTGGAAAAAATTGGTGTGTTGGTCTCAAAATAATGTATTGATGGGAAGGAAGATGAGTGGAGAAGAACACAAGTGCTATTTTGTATCGGATATTTCTGATACGGGACTTAAAGTGCTTTTCCAGAAAAGTTCCTTCTACCTCAAGCATATTTTATAAGTGCTCCAGGTATCTGGTAAGTAATTTGTAAGGACAGTGATTAGAGTCAGGCTTACTAAGATTTTTCTTCTGTTCATAAGACTGTTTTAAGCAGTAGTTTGAAGATTGTTCAAGGGCAGGAGGAATTCTACTCTACCGACTTTGCTCTTCTTGCTGGGATACAAAGAGTGGCGTGGAGGCTTTCATTTTTTTAAGCTAAATGGGGGTATTAAATTGTGCTTTCCAGCTTAAAAGTCACATCAGTTTAAAAACTGAGAGTGACTGTCTTCTTTTCCTTGCAGCTTCTTGAGTACTGGCCATCAGCGTGGTTTGTTTCTTTCCACTGCTTCCGCAGCGTAGAAATGAGGAGGGTGAAAAATTTTCATTGATATACCTCTTTGAAGTGACAATAGTCTGAACAGTTGCTTCAGCCTGCGTTAGGAAATTGTGTCTGAAGTGTGGATGAATGCAGAGATGACTTCTGGAAATTTACTAAGGTGTATCAACACCTTTTTTAATCTTATCAGGAAACTTCCTTAGGTGATAATGGCATTGCAGAGTAGCAGAAGTTTATTGCTACAGCTGTTGTGTGCTAGTTTTACAGACCTAATTGAAGGAGTAACCAGGCATGCATGTATTCCAGCAGATTTGAGGGGGCAGCCAAGTATTAATTTAGTTCAGCTGTAGCCAGAGTAGATGTATTCTCCTAGTTTTAATAAATGTCTTCCCATCACATGCACAAAAACTTTTAATTTGGACTCCTTTGGATCCTGCATTTGTATCTGTTTTTCTCAACTGTGTGTATGTATATTCTCTTGAAGGTCACCCTGTATATGTTTGGAGCTGATGTTTCTAATGAAGGTTTTTGGTTTTGTACCAGAAGGTTGCTGACAACTAATTGTATGCTATATTCTTAGGAATATCCTAAGGGATAAATGCAGTGCAGCCTGCCACCAGTTTGCTATATCCTATATTCCTTATGTTCTTTAAGGCAGAGGGTTGTTATGTGTATTAGAGGTTGTTTGATGGTGACATTTTTACTT